AAGGAGGTAAATGGAAATGTATTATTGTATAGCAGCTGTCCACGCGGACGCATCGCTCACTCCAGTAGGAGAGAGACAGATGTCGAACGCTGCCGAACGCGGAAGCCGATTGTGCCTCTTTGTCGCTCGTTCCGCGCTCTCGCTTGCATTCAAGCCTTAAATGGAACGCCTCAGAGCGAGGTAACGCCGCATGAGTCATGTTTTTTCGTGCGTGCAGCCTGCTCCATCGAATTATAAGACGTTGTCACGTCAAAAATTGTAAATAACTAATTAAATTAAAACACTATATAATTGACAGGGAAATACTTGCCTATACAATCTCGCTAGATTTATTATAAACCAACGGTGATTATCCGATTACAGACATGCGTAGTATATTAGTTAGTTACCCCTGGTACCAATAATGTAATGTAACTAAATCTTTTTAAAGGGTTTTTCTTTTTCTCAGGAAAAATGGTACCAACGCTGGTCGAGAAATGCCAAGAACGGAGCCAGACGTTCACAGCTTTCAAGAATACACATACAAGAAAATAACTCCCTGTGACGTTTGTTCCCAAATTCTAAGAGGTAAGACAATTCCATGCCAGTTAATATTGTGAAAGGGTGAAGTTTATGTAGTTGATTGTTCGGGATAATCCCTAGAACAACAAGGCGGATTTTTAAAACTCTTATTTCGGCTGATATTTTAGACTATATATCGTCCCACTATGAGCCCATGGGAGAGACAGGAGTAGATCTATGATAAAAGGTGTAAAAACTTAAGGAAAAAATAAAAGCGACGTAGATTTAGTAAAAGTTTTTGACAGTGTTAAGTGGGACAAGATGTTAAATATACTTGAAAATGTTAGAACGAGATATAGTGATAGAAGTTTACGTATATAAAGAGCAACAGGCCTTCATAGAACTTGAGCAGCATTGTAGAGATGTAAATAATAGGAAGGGCGTCAAACAAGATTCCACACTGTCACCCCTACATTTTAATCTATGTATAGAAGACTCAATAAACATCATTAAAGACAGGACAACATTAGGAATAGATATACAGGGGCATACATGCATAGGCTTACAAATGATATAGCAGTATTAGTATCTAGCAAGCAGGAATTACAGATAGCCTTAAATAAAATGAAAGCGATATTGACAAAAGAGTATTGTATCGTATGAAAATAAATAGAAGTAAAATAAAAATACTGGTATACAAAGAAAGAAAAATTAGGGAAATATTACGATCAAATCAAAATCAAAACAATCATCTTTTGAGAAGCGGGGCTAATTTTAAGGTGACGCAAACTCCCGACTCATGAGACAAATGGCCTCAATTTTCAATTGTGTTTATTCTTAAATTGCAAAATTAGAGGTTATTTAGAAATTTTATGGTTTGACTTTTATTTTTTTGTGAATGTGGAAACCCGAAAGGAAGTTATACGTGGGGCTGCGAATGTTAAAGATACGCCACTGGGTTCAAGTCAATTCTAATTTGTGTGATATATAAAAGCGCGGCAGGGTGTTGTAAGATGACATGTGTTTTGACGAAAATGTGTTCTTACGAAATTGAAGAAATGATTCATAATTTTAGCACAAAATTTCGATCAATACAGTGGTTCAAGGCAATTTCAATTTGTATGATATAAAACCGCAGCAGGGTGTCGTAAGTGGCATGTTTTGAAGAAAATGTGTTGTTGTGACATCGAAAAAAAATTATTCATAATTTCAGTTCCTTTTTACCAAATTTTTGAATTTGTAAGCGCAAAATTTCACTGTTTACAGTGGTTTAACCAAAAACAAATTCAAGGGGTCCCGCAAGTGGCTCCGTATTCCAGTAATAGATTTCTCGTAAAAATTGAAAATTGCTAGTTATTTTTAGTGTTTTCTTGTGGTAAACTTACTGTATTTTTATGTCATATTTAATCTAAAAATCATCAAAAAATAAATTGTTCAATACGTTTTCGAAAACATTATCAATCAGTTTCTTTTTTTGTCTATTTTAGTACTACAAAAATACAGAAGTTTTATCAGATCGTACTAAGCGGGCGTCGTACAAAGCATAGTCTTAGAAAATAAACAACTTTCTATTTTGATTAGTTATTTAGTTTAATAGAGAGAAAAACTACAAATTGTATATATTAACAGAAAAAGAAAAAGAACCATAAATTGTAATATCAATATACATAATAAGGGTCAGAAAAATGTGCGAAAATGTTATTATAATCATTTGGGTCACTATAACCGGATATGATTTTTTGAGAATTGGTCATAATAAACGATATGTCATTTTAAACGGAGTCATTATATCCAAACTTTCCTATAAAGAATTCAATATGAAAACAAAACTCAACACTACAATTACTTCATATAATAAACAAATTCCACTGTATATACATTTATAACACCGATCAAAAACTTATTTATTCATAGAATGATTCTTACGCAGGACATACGAAGCAAGGACTAAAATGCAGGTCGTGTAAGATGAACGTTCATTTAGACTGTCAAGAGAAAGCCGCAAAATGTCAACCAAAATCCAGGCTTCTGAGAAGACAAAAGTCCACATCAGAAATTGAATCCCGAGTTCCCGAACCAACGCTTGAAGAAGAAAGTAAGTAATCAATTTTACATTTCCTTTATTTGATTAAGTTTCTATATGGAATACAAAAGGCAAAATTATCCACGCCGCTATTTTAAATGAAGAAAATAGTAGGTACTCGATCTACGAATATTGATATATAAACATTTCTCATATTTATNTGAAAAATAATATTTTTAAATAAATAGGGTTTAACTTCATCATCATCATAAGGTCGTCAGTCCTAAGACTGGTTGGACACGTACCTCCACTTTTTCCTATTCTGAGCTAAACTTCGCATTTCCCTAAAACTAGAGCAGCCAACATCCTTAAGTATTTGCGAACAGTAATCTAATCTAGGTCTACCTCTACCCCTCCTAACCTCCGTTTCTGCCTCTAATATGTTTCTGACTAGACCTTCATGCCTGAGAAGGTGCCCTACCAACATATCTCGTCCTCTGTTCTCCTATTCTTTCTAATACCTCTTCATTTCTAACCTTTTCTACCCACGTTATCCTCATCATCCGCCTATAACACCACTTTTCAAACGCTTCTTACCTTTTCTTTTCCGCCTCGCCGACTGTCCATGTTTCGCACCCGTACAACACCGCGCTCCAAACATACACCTTTAACAACCTTTTCCGAATTTCTAAATTAACCGTTCGCGAGCATAGAAGTTACTTCTTTTTAATAAAGGTAACACGACCCTGATCTATCCTATACTTTATATCCCTACTACTCCTTCCATCCTGACTTATCTGACATCCTAGATATCTAAAATCAGCCACTTATTCAACGTTAATTAAACAACTAAAATCGAAGCATTCGCAGTAATAATAACATTTAAACATGAAGATGCACTACATGTTTCAGACAAGACCGCTAATTAACACAGACGTTAATCAATCCAGTTCCTTATTACGTGATTATCACATTAAACGACTGTCAAAGAGGCAAGTAAAGGGTTACAACTGTCGAGATCATTTCAGAACAAATTAGCTGCAAGGTAACATTTTAAACTCCTTTATGATGTAGTTCAAGCTATAAATTTTGTGTCTAGGAAGGCAAAATTTATGCGATTTCCCAGTAGCTACGCAACCACTAATACCAGAACCTCACAATACAAAATGAGCTAAATAGATATTCTAAAATAAATAACGCATTAATTATAATTAAATAAAACAACTGACAGACAGACGCAGAGTGTTCCCATAAGGGTTCCATTTTTTATTCGGACGTAACGGAACCCTAACCCAAGAACAAACTTAACATTGTAGTTTGAAAAAACATGTTCTCCCATACATTCAAACAGCAAATGTAAAAATGAATGCACAAAATTATTTTGTTGAAAGATTTACCACATTATGTTCAGACCATAGGCTTCATATTAATTTTCCTGTAGTCTATAAATAAAGAAGTATTTTCTGTATTTTTTCAAAATTTTAGGTTAAGTAGTTCGGAGATAAAGGGGGGAANTGTGCGAAAATGTTATTATAATCATTTGGGTCACTATAACCGGATATGATTTTTTGAGAATTGGTCATAATAAACGATATGTCATTTTAAACGGAGTCATTATATCCAAACTTTCCTATAAAGAATTCAATATGAAAACAAAACTCAACACTACAATTACTTCATATAATAAACAAATTCCACTGTATATACATTTATAACACCGATCAAAAACTTATTTATTCATAGAATGATTCTTACGCAGGACATACGAAGCAAGGACTAAAATGCAGGTCGTGTAAGATGAACGTTCATTTAGACTGTCAAGAGAAAGCCGCAAAATGTCAACCAAAATCCAGGCTTCTGAGAAGACAAAAGTCCACATCAGAAATTGAATCCCGAGTTCCCGAACCAACGCTTGAAGAAGAAAGTAAGTAATCAATTTTACATTTCCTTTATTTGATTAAGTTTCTATATGGAATACAAAAGGCAAAATTATCCACGCCGCTATTTTAAATGAAGAAAATAGTAGGTACTCGATCTACGAATATTGATATATAAACATTTCTCATATTTATAATAGAAAATATATCTTGCCGTAGTAATTAAATTAACTAAATAATAATACCATGCAATCAACTTTTCTAAACAAAATTTCATTTGATTAAAAGTAATTTATCATTTACTTTCTCGTTTCATTTCTTTTAATTTATTATCAAACCTTCGATGTATATATAAAAACACCACATTTATCATTTGTTAAAACAAAATAAATAGGGTAGGTATAGGATTTAATTAAAATTCCCTTTTTTGGTTAAATCAATATGAGATGTTGATAGTTTATTAAGCGTAAAGAAGAATAAACAAACTTTTTCGTCAAAGAGAAGACAAGAATTCCTTTAAAAAAAAGAGGTGCTACTAGCTATAGGTAGGTATAAATCGATTATTTTTATATTTTGTGGATTAAATTTAAAACTTTCTAAACTGATACTGTCCTGCGAAACGCTGGGGACGACGACCTTTAGATCTGAATCACAACTTGTTAAAAATTTCTTTCAAATGATCAAAATGATTTTCTCACATTCAAATATAAGTGTACGATTATCTAAAGATCAACGCATATTGTAACTGTGTCAGTTAATGATAGAATGTACAAGCAGTTTTCTTACCGAAAGCGCTTCTAAAAGTACCTTTGTATGGGCCCATTCCCCTCAGAGTTGAAGTACGGAGTTCAACCTCCGAAATGCGACGCACTTCAATTGTTGTCGTTGTGACCAAAACATCATTTTAGCTACTAAACTATACCAGCTTCAACAGACTTTAACTTCTAAGCTGATTGTAATACACTGTTGACAAAAAAGTGCGCCGGAAGTTTCAAATGTAACACCAATTTTTGTAGCGCTCTCGGTCTCATTAGAAAAGCCCTAAAGCTTAAAAAGAGATGATTTGTAAAGTACTCAACTGAACCGTTTTCGACCTACTGGAAGGACGCTGTACATTTTATCATTAAGTTGCTTTTGGAAATTACCATCGATGAATCAAAAACAATCGTAGTTATAAACTATTCATTACCCATGATCATTACAATATGAGAATATACTTCAAGAAGTATTTTGTTGCAATGTGGTAAACATGTAGCCATTTTAAAATCAGAGTACTTACTTGATATTTTTTATATAACCTGCATTAACTTGTCCTATAATAAGTGTTTTTGTATCCAAGATATAAGAGAGAGCGATAGATATCCCCGCATGACCACCTTCAATCGACAATTGTCATTTAGAAATAGCCATACACCGACAAACAGTCCAGATTCTACAAGTTTAGGTACAAGAGAAGCTTGCTTATCTTGTAATTAACCTACCGCTTATGTTTTTTTTTATTTTTTTTTTGCCTAACTACGGCTCGGTTTTCGCCAGACATGAATTTATTTTTGCGTTTTTTTTCTTTATAATAGCTCACACAAAACAGTGTTATAATATCAGGCTTTTTGTACAACCAATTCATTCAATTTTTTTACTCAAATTTTATGTCACAAGCGATAGGTTTAGTAAAAATTTTACCTACTGCGTGAACATTCAGTTTCACAAAAAAGTTATTTAGTTAAAATACGCTATAGGATTGTTTAGAAAAGGATTATCCACTGCAACAAGCAATCTGCATACCTAGACGTATCGAATTTGCAAAAACACGACCCTCGATTACATATTTAATAATTACGAAAGTAACACCTTGCTTGCATCATCATACCATACATTACCGATTATCATATCAACACAAAATTTGATCTATTTTCCATTTCATCCCTTAGTTTTATATAATATTAAGTAAAGTTCACGAAAATTAAGGGTTGGAAGGTTTTTATTTAAATATACTATTTTGTATCAATATTTTATTTAAATAAAAACCTTCCAACCCTCAATTGCCTTAAACTTTACTTAAAATTATCATATCAAAATCTTCATTAAACTAGCGATTTAGGTTTAAACACAAAGTGTTAATTTTTATGTTTGGTAATTATTCATTTTGGTAAAGTCATATGGTAAAGTCTACCATAACAAAAATTTGAATAATGCTTAGTATAAACTCCCCACAATACCATCTTCAGAGAATAAGTTGGTCCTCGGAATTATTATTTAAATTTTCTGTTAAAATGTTTTGATATTCTTTTGTTATATTAATATTCTTTTATGAAAGGGCTAAAAGATATCATTTTGAGGCAATTTCGAGTTCGATGAAGAAATATAATTCTAAGTTGTTCCCGTAAAGTATCTACTAAAAAACTCTCGCAATCATAAGTCATAAAAAAATTTCTTGACGATTATCATTTTTTGAGTTTCTAGATTGTAATGCACAGGGTTGGTACCATTGTTATTTCTTTATTTAAAAGTACAGTTATTAATTTTAATTCAAAGGTGCAGAAACCCAAAAAATGGTAACGCTTTTCGACTTGCGTTTGTGGGACTTTTTCGGTACCAAACTAAATATATTCAAGGATTATGGGGAACAGTCAGTAGAATAATATTTATTTTTCAAACATTATCATCAAAAAAACATTAGCAGCCTTTTGTTAAAACTACAAAGGACCTTAAATTCTCATTAAAAAGATATGACAAAGTAATAAGTATTCCTTTATGCTTTACAACATATTTTTGATTTTTTTTATAAATAAAATAAAAAATTTTACTGTCTCTTTAAATTACTTTTTACTTCTTCAAAAAGGAACGTACATGTCATTATCAACTAACATCATACATACGTAATTCTCATGGTTCATTTCACTGTAACCCTGAGCTTTCTCAGATAGTACCGAAGTGGATCGGATCTATCAGGTCCTAAAACAAGCAACAGAGATATCAAACAACAAACCCCGTTTTAACCTGGAACCACCATACGCAGAAAGAACGGCCATTTCTGCCTCTGTAAGCTCGGGCAGTTCAGGCCAGAGCATAAACCGGCGTAACGTCCTGCCGGCCACACAAGGCTCCACGAATGCCTCCACGCTTTCAGTTAACAATCCTGTACCCTCTACCACTAGTTCAGGTGTGTTTCCGAAAACTGTTCGCTGCGCTGTTAACGCTATAGCTGCTGCAACTGCACGCACATTAAACTGCGTAGAAAATTTCGACGATCATTTTAACAGACCCATTCATGGGAAAATAAATGGTTATTTCTAATAGTCTAGTCTCGAAAAATCTTCTAAAAGTACGATGTCATTCGGAGAAAGACGTATTTTGGTTTTTTTCAGGCGATATATGTGTTACAGTTGTTATTATCTAATAAATCAAAAAAAAACAAAAAGAAAGGCGGAAATCGGAAAATCGATTCTTAAAGAGGATGAAATTTCCAATAAAAAAAGTCGTATCTCTTACTACTAACTTGATAATACTTAAAAGAATAAAATCCCGTTGGAAAAATCAGTTTCAAAACTTTTTTGCCTGAATTTTAGTCTATCAAGTATTAAGTTCATACTACAATTTATATAAATTTTTAAATTTAAGCGGTAAATTCAACGGTAAGTTAAAATCATATCGAATCAAAGTACAGTTACAAGAGGTCATACTTTCCCGTTGAAAATTTCCTCCTCTTTAAGTCTGTTTTCTGATTTCCGCTATCGGTAATAGTTTTTAAGCAATCGCCGAAAAACTGAACCTACTTGTTTTCCCTTTTTACGGCGATTTTTCGCAGAAAACACTTCTGGACTAGACTATAGAAAATGGTTTTGCGATATCGGCACAATGTAATTACATATAAAATAAAGGCATAATTTGCTTTATACTATACGGTCATCATCCCGATCTAATTAAGTTTTTGGAAATAAAAAAACATATGTTCGAAATTTTGCTTTTTCATTAACCTTTCTTTATAATTTATTAAATTTCGATAGGTGTATTTTCAATACTTGCTCCACAAAGGGTTTAAAATCGGACTATAACTGTAATAATTTTCATTTAACAATCACTCTAAGGAAGTTTTCATTACTTTTAAAAGAATGTCGCATCAAAGATTTTTAACGAAATCCCTTTGGGGAATCTCTCTATTTATAAGTCATAGGCACGTGTTATTTTCAAGCGACTTTCCGTGTTCTAAAACGCTTCCTTGAAAATTGGTAATAAAAATTTTACAATATAATCCAGGCAAATTAGCGTTTGTTATCTTTTGGAAAAAGAAGTAAATCCATTCAGCGGCTCTGCCGAAAGACTAACACCTTTGGAGAAAATTAAATTGAGAGAATTAAAACTTCGCATAAGTAAATAATCTGTGCAAAGAATTTCAGACAATCAATTGACATTTTAATTAAAAGTAAAAATACGTAGTATTTTTGAGTATTCCTATAATGTAGACATTAATATTAGTAATAAAGCTTTATTCTTCTAAAAAATTTATGCATGTGCATGGCTGCTTTGTTTCTTCAAGATTCGTTTTAATTCGAGAAAACTCCAAAGTACTTTTCTTAATAAATAAAAATTTGAATACACTCGTATAATCTCAAAATAAGTTTAAAATAAATATGTAGTAAGGTAAGTGCGATAAGTGGATTTTGCTTTCATCAAAGGACGTTTATTTGAAAAGTGATATATCTACTCAAAATAAGTTTATTAATAAATCTCTCCCGCAATTTCTAAAATGATTAATATATAATACATGCAGAGTAAGATAATAAGCGATGTTGCATCAGCCAAAGTAGATCATGTAAATATTAGCGAATCGTTTGATTATCTAGTAAGCCTGAAAAGTAATTCTGTATATAAAATTCACACAAAAAAAGCAAATACCATCCTTTTTTTACTGAAACGTACATACTAACTTTTTTACTCGTAGTTTAACCACTCATTAACATACAATTCCCAATATTTAGTTCGTATTCGTGTATATAAGACAATGTATTAAATATATATGTGCCGAACACTTCAAGATGTTTTTTTGTGTTTATTCTTTTCTTATAATATTCATACACGAGCCTGTCTCTAAGTGAAATTGAATCAATAAGGGCCATCGACAAGGAGAAATCCCCAGGCGGTCAGGTTTTTTGAGTAGACCCGATAATTCAAAACTACAAAAAAAATTCTAATTTTCTTTCTCCCTTTTGACATTAAAGAAAAATCCTACATACAGTGTTATCTTTAGAAGAGGAAGACTTTTGGGTAGCTACAGCTCGGGGCCGCATTTTCGTAAGATTGATTATTTTAATTTAAAACAATTTAAACAATATTAAAACTTAAGCATTATTATTAAGAATTAGAACTAATATTTATGACTATATAACTATGTTGTATAAATATTACCTGAAATTAGTAAGTGGAGACTCGCAAATTAATCTAATTACTATGTACGTTCATTGTGATTTTATCTATGTGAGAGACTATTAGTTTCACAAAAGTACATGTTCACTTTTACTTATTCAACTTCATTGAGACAGGTCAAAAAAGGTTATTTCTGTAAAATTCTTTTGTTAAAAGAAAAAACATCTGATGGTGACAGGCTTTAAAATAACAACAAAATAGTGGCTAGTAATGAAAGAATGTTGCAGACCAAAATTCAACCATGTTTTGTTAATTGTTTATATATACATAAGAGATTGAGAGAAATAGATACTACCTAATATATTTTGAAATTTCAGAAATTAAAAATCGCCCAGTCACATTAATATTACTTCATCATAATTTTCACAAACTACTTTTCTAATATTTCTACAGCACGAACGTAGCCAGATTTTTTTGCAAGGGGGACAAGGGTGAGCCACACTTTGCAGTTTTTAAGCTCCATATACGATTCAAGTTTCGTAAAAAAAACATTTCTGTATATCACCACCTCTCGGTCAAGAAGTAAAATTTTCTTGGGTAGGTAATTTAAGAATCATGTTCATTGAAAGAAAAATCGTAAACGTATTCGATTTGGATAATGCATGCATTTGATTTTTCGCGTTATTATATATTATACACCCTACAATTTTGCGAAACGTTTTGGATTATGTAGAATTGCTAAAATGCTGAATACATTACATCGGATTAAGTTAATATTAATGGTAAGTAATGGTTTCTGAATGAGAATTTTCGAAACGAGAATTCCCGAGAAATGTTCCCTTACAGGAGACGAGAAAAAACGATCGAGAACTCGGGAAATTTCAAACCTACAAGAAAAAAACTATGAGTTGTTTTATGAAAAAGCGAAGTAAAGGTCAAAAATAGGAAACTGACTTTCAAATGCTACGATAAATGTTCTCACATTTTTGAAAGCATATTTTACAAACAAGAAGAGTAAGTAATGACATGTAGAAATACCTCCACTCTTCTATCTCTCGCCTTACGTCTAATAATGTTCCAATTGATATTGATTTTCTTTTGCTATTTTTATTTTCCTCTGTTATATTTAAATAATTGCGCAGTTCCAATCTATTGAAATATGTATATATAAGTTTAAAATTCTTGATTTTCAAAAATTTTAAGTTAGGTACTAATTGTGAATATTGATTAGATTAAGTACCTAATTTAATTAAGAGCCTAGCAGTTTGTAAGAAATTAATTTAATCTGGTAAATTGTTGTTTTCAGTTTTAAGTTAATACGAATTTCTTTTTGTTCCCATTTCCTATCTCTAATTAAGGAAGACTGATTACATTCTTCACGGAGAAAATGAAAAACAAAAATTTACCTAAATATTTAAGCGACATTTACAATTTATCCCACTAGCCTGTTGCTTCGTAAGTAAAAATANTTCAGAGATTCTGAGAGACTGAATATTTTTATCTCGGGAACTTCTAAATTAAGTTTCTTTCGGAATAATCGGTGATGATCAAATCAAGACTAAGACAGTCTTGGTATGGGTTTTAGTTTTACTTAAACACCTCTGATCTTGGTTTTGACTTTGTTGATAAAGTCTTGGTCTTGGATATGGTCCTGCCTGTTAAATCTTGGTTTTCCTCATTTGTTTTGATACGTTTTTTTGTAATAATTGTATTAAGTTCAAACTTTTCTATTTACCAACACAATAATTGTTTTAAATGTTGAAATTTTCTGTCATACATGCATGCATGTCATGACTTTATGAGAGTTATGAAAACTCAAGAATTTACCCTTTCTCTAGTGCATAAACTGACTCTTTCTCTAACGCATAAATTGACCTTTTTACGAACAAAATAATACAAGTTACTTGAATAAAACAAAAATTATCGAAAAAAAAAAATAATTTGCTTCTGTTTTCCAACCATGTGTTATCCCTTTTTTCAAACAGTGGTAATGTTTCTTTTTTTTATATTTATTGTTAAAATCTAGTAAAGCAAAGTGAATACCAAAAATGTTTTGTTCCAAGAAAAGAATATATTGGTTAGTTGGTTCAAATAGTTTCTCTTGTAAATCCACCGGAAGTAATAATTTTTTGTTTAGTCTTGCGTATACATGGAAATGGGAAAGAATATGTCTTCAATATCAATAATATCTTTAGAACTATAAAATATTCTTGTCGCTAAACAGCATCCTACATAAAGACAAAAGAAAATCTCGAATTTCCAAATTCAGAAATCAAAAACCCTTGGCTCATCCGGACGCATTCGTATCTGCAGGACTGGGATAATCGGCCAAAAATCAGTGTCATCCTCATACATATTTTTTTTTACAAAGCCAGTACAGCACGCCGTACTGCAATCAATAGTTCCGATTAATTATTGAGCGTAGTATACGGAATTTTAATAAATAATTTCCTTACTAGCCACTATAGGTAGTATCCGTTAACACTAACAAAAAGTAATAAACTGTATAAACCATTATCCTGAATTTAGAACGCAAACATGCCTCGTCTTCGGCTACATCAACGACTACCTCGTCACCTATGGACAGCATCTCAATGCGAAGGAGACTCTTTGCTGGAATGAAAAGTTTGACCGGATTCGGATCAAGATATAGGCGCTCGTCGCCTGGTCATCGCTCCATCTCACTACCGGAAAGTACGCGACTTTCTTGTATATACATAATATATATAATTATTTATATATACTTTTGCAACATCTATGTATATGTTTTTTGTCGCCACTCTTATCAGTTATCGTGCAACGTAATGCTATCGATGTTTTCCGGAAGTCACATGCCACTCTTTGGAGTTTTTATCATCCTGTTCTAAAAAATATTCACAATAGTCAATGTACTTCTCAACCTGAGGGACCGTTCATATATTACGTAACGCAATTTTTGAAGTGACCATTTTTACCCAAAAGTGCAGAAGTTCTGTTGCGAAAATCGTATAACATCATTTATATGTTCTCAGTGGCGGATTATCCCGTAAGGCAAACTAGGCACATGCCTAGGGGCGCAAGGTTAAAAAGGGGCGCGCGCGAAAGTTTTAAACTAAAAAAAAAAATACAACGTGTAATTATACAACACGCTACTGAAGTGAAACTTCTTTAAACACACTAATATACCGGGATAGGGGTTAAGGAATTGGCTTAATGGTATTATTTGTACACTATGCTTGCACGGGTGCAATGCTGATAGTAAATATACTATAGAATGTCTTTATATACAACAATCACAGCTTTTTTGTCATTAGAAAATACAAACCGGCCGGTATCGCCGCAACCGCTATATCCCTGCATTTTAAGTCTGAAATATCTTCGAAAATATTCATTTAAATTACATGCTGTAAAGGACCATATTGATCTATATTAAATGCACAATGTTTTTAAAAGTACTTAATTGGATAAGGATTAATGCTATATTGCTTAAAATCGCTTCGTAAATAAGCCATTATTAAAAGTAAAGGATAAAAAATGCTTATTGTGGGTTATCCCTAAGAGATAAACATATACTATCGCGGACTTTTTTGTAGGCCTTTTTACGGTGTACAATACTGTTGTGTATTATTTTGATCTATCTCGTAGGGTTCGGCCAGCGTTTACAATGTAAGCGCAAAAAAATGTGTTTATTTACGACATCACATTACAAACCTCTAAAATTATCAGTGTTTCTCTATTATATTATGCATGTATTATACATATAAACCTTCCTCTTGAACCACTCTATCTATTAAAAAAAAAAGCATTAAAATCCGTTGCGTAGTTTTAAAAATCTAAGCATACATAAGGACAGACAGCGGGAGAAATGCGTTGCATCATTTCGTTACATAGCAACTCGCATGAAACGAACTTACTCTACCGTGCTTAAAGAAGTTTCACTTCAAAAAAAAAGTAAGGAAGTACTTACAAAAATTATTTTGCAAAATATATGAACGCCAGAGGGGCGTCTCTGGGGTGCTAGCCTAGGGAGCTCTCGACATTTAATCCGCCTCTGTATGTTCTATAAACTTTTCTTTATTTTTTAGTTTTTCTTTAGCCGTTTTTCCAAATTTCATTGGCATTTTTTTGACATACTTGCGCTGGCAAGTCAGCATGAGAGCCTTTATAGGCCAAAAACAGCTGATGATACAAATCTCCCTCTTTTCGAAAACAACATTAAATGACGTACAATACAATCGAGTGATTCCCCGTAAAACGTAAACGAAAAGGGTTACCAACTTGGTAGTTTTAATTCCCTAATTTTTTATTCAAAAAAAGAAACAATGTTACGTAACGTGTTGTAAGAATGACCCCCTCCCGCCCCTGTAACGCATCGTAACGTTTTACAAGACCCCCCCTCCCCCAAATTGCGTTACAACATACTTGAACGCTCCCTTTTTTATTGGATTTGGGTGTTGTAATAGTGTTAATTTTGCAATATAAAAATTCCAAAGACAAATGTTTGCTCCGTTATAAGTATAACTAATTGTAAATATAACTTGTAATTAACTCATTGCTTCTAAAATATTAAACACATATTACACATTCAGAAACACTACCAATACGTTCAAAAGCGTGTCTAAAACAAATCTTTTGATTTTATTTTAATAACAATTACGAGATTACTAGCACCTTTCTTATATTATTACTATTATTACAATAGAACCTGTTGTTAATACCAAGACACTCCAATATCCAGATAATTCTCAATTTAAATTCAGAATGTGGTGGTTCTACTCAATTGTTACTTATCCATAAATCGGCTAATGGATGGGATAAAGTGCCATTAATACCAGAAACGGTAAACCACTGTTGATTATTAATTAGAAATTTCTATTTTTACTGTTGATTTGGATTGTTAAAATTCATGATCACGAATTGTCCCGTGAAACTGCTGTAAATTGAAACCTACGTGACCATATCATTCGTGTACTTTCAACATAAACAAAGCTTATAACTAACAAATAGAGATTTTGTGACAATGAATTCAATTCGACTCTAATTTTAATTGCTTTTCTCGTTCACTGCTTTACGACGATAATCCTCAGTACAAATCCCTTAAGTTTCTGAAATTATTTTCGGTCGCGTTGTTTTTTTTTCTTTTTAAAAAGACAGTGGTGAACCACCCAAGTACAAATGAAACATGACATTACCGTTTTAAGTAAAATTAGCTCCTAATTCTCAAATTATATATTTAATTAACCTCTTAACACTTCTTCATAACAAATTCACCGTAGGTACGTGATGCCAGGCTTATTGTGATAACACGAATAAGCCTAAACAAATGCATATTGGCATTGTTTATTGTTAATTATTTTTATGCTTTTTTTGTATGATGCCTAATTTCTTTTTTATACTACAGTTTCTGTCCTTTCCATGTTTTAGATATTAATATTGGCTTATATTTTTAAAATCATAATTCTCTATTGTTTTTTCAATGTTCACTTTAGTTTAATTTGTTTTTCCTTTTTTCGCACAGTACAAGTACTTTAGTTTTTCAATGAGTAGGAATAATACAACATGCAATTTTATTAATCAAAACTCAAAAACTTAAATAACTAAGTATCAAAAAAAATTTCACAGAGATTTTTTGAAACTTCTCTTCCTAATATTTAATAGTACAGATAAATATTAATGCGTCAATTGTAATATTAACAAACAAAACAAAAAGAAAAGACAGATTATAAGTCCCAATAACACCATAGACACTTTTCATTTGGTATATTTTAATTGAAAATTATTAGACACATGCTTACGTTTTAAGATTTCAACACCCTATTATCTTTTTATTCATTTTTCTGATGATAAGTCTTCATACAGCTTATTAATAAAATATTTTTTCTAGACGTTTCGTACATTCGTACATTTCATTTCAATGTGTATAATCATGATATAAATTACAGGTATTTAAATATAAGTATTGACAAAACTACATAATGTACATTACATTATTCTACCTACATACTGATTTTCATGACATTACCTGATTCCAAAATTATATTCCCGCAAACGATCCCTCGTTAATGCAACGCAATAATTACTTCTTGTCTTACAACATACCTGATTGCTATTAGCAATTAATTACCTTAAGAGCCTATATTTCCGTTCGAGGCGATGTAGTAACTCATAATTGCATATATAACGAAGTGGAATTGTGTCATAAGTTGAACAAAAAGAAAAAGAAGAAAAGTATGAAGTCCTAATTAATTAATATTTAATATTTATATCATCAATTTTATTTAAGTAAAAATAAAATAAAATGGATTTTTGTAAATATTGTACCATTAAGTAAATACTGTATTAGACTTTATTAAAACTAACATTTAAATTTGAACAATTATGTTAGCTGGAAAATCCGGTACATCTTTCATTCCAGCATGGAGTTGAATTATCGCCTCAAGTTAATGCTAAAGGTCAATAAGTTTCACTTAGTAAGCATGTCCCTTAATATTTGCAGAACGAAGTTCGCAAGACGCTTCGGGCACGAGGCCCTTTGGAGAGCCCTTATACCTTATTCACAACGTTGAAAATGGCGATGACGAAGACCTACGACCCATTACAGCGACCCGGGAAAAATCGAAACACATAAATAAACGAATAAGTTTTCGCAACAAAAAATGACGCCTTATCGAAATCGGATCGAAATGAGATTTATTTAAACTTGATATCGAAATTTGTTCGGTCACAAACCTGTCTTGATTGTCCAGTTGATTTTTTGCTTAGGAAAGTTATTAAGTTTGGAAAACGTATTTTAAGTTGTTGACAAAAAATAACGAAAAGATTTTTTTAACGTTATAAACAATTGAACCGTTAGAAATACAAATGGAAAAATTTGGGACAAATAATTAAGAAAAGGTTAATAATTTTCCTTCTCGTAAAAACAGAAGAACTACTTCTGATACCGCGTCGCGAACTTATTTATTAATTGTTTAAATATCGTCTTTTTCTTTAACATAGATAAATCATACACAAGAACATTTTTTAAAACGATTAATAATGTTAAGGTTTTGACGTGACAACGTCTTATAATTCGATGGAGCCGGTTGCACGCACGAAAAAACATGACTCATGCGGCGTTACCTCCTTCTGAGGCGTTCCATTTAAGGCTTGAAGTGCAAGCGAGAGCGCGGAACGAGCGACAAAGAGGCACAATCGGCCTCCGCGTTCGGCAGCGTTCGACATCTGTCTCTCTCCTACTTGAGTGAGCGATGCGTCCGCG